GGAAAGGCTTTCACTACACATTCAATTCTTTATTATTGTAGGACTATTTAGACTCTTGAATAATTTGCTCAGCGTACAGATTGAATAGATATGAAGAGAGAATACAATCCTGAAGCACTCCATTTTTCATTTGAAACCATGCAGTGTTCCCCTGTCCTGTTCTCACAACAGCCAGGAGGTTCAGGAGTAGGTTCCACATGAGCACAAGGAAGTGCTCTGGGACTCCCATTCTTCTTAATGTCAGCGACACAGTCAAATGCCTTTGCATAGTCAATAAAGCACAAATAGGCCTTCTTCTATAAATAGGAATGACAGAAGACGAATTGACGCCTTTGAAGTATGGTGTTGGAGAATAGCACTGCACATCCCATGGACAGCCAAAAGAACAAATATGTCCTGGAGAGCAGGCAGCCAGAGTGCTCTTTGGAGGCAAGGATGATCATCTCACATACTTTGAGCGTGTTGCTAGGAGGGGCTATCCCTTGAAAAGGGACATAATGCTTGGAAGATGGAGAGTCAGCAAAGAAGAGCAGACCCTCGACTCGGTGGATTGACACAGTGACTGCTGCTGGAGGCTCTAGTGTGTCAGGAAGTGTAAAGGTGGCACAGGATAGTACAGGGTTCAGGTCTTTTGTCATAGGGTTGCTCTGAGTCACACTCAACAGCACCTAACCACAGCAGTAACAATTTAGGCTGTTTCTTCTTACGTGACCTTTGGCTATTTGTATTTTTAAATTTATTTGTCCATTTTATCTCAGTTGTTGAATATTATATGAATTTAGAATTGTCCATATTGTTGTAGTTAAGTACCTTGAGTTGACTACAACTCATAGAGACCCTATGAACAACAGATACTAACACACATATGTTGTTGATTGCCATCGAATCAAGCATGACTCATAGAGACCCTATAAACAAAAGATCTGAAGCCTTTCTATAACTCGTCATTTGTCAAAGTTCATAGAGTTTCCAGAGGCATGTTGTTTAGGAAGTAGATGCCACTTCTGCTTTCAGATGCCTTTCCAGCTGCTCCCTGTATTCCTGGGATGGAGGGTACTCTGCACTAGACAGGTCAAATTTGTCTAGCTAAGCCCCTGACAGAACAGAGAAAGGATATCTGTGACCAACATAGAAACAGCAGAAAAGAAAATATTATCTAAACAACCATCTAGGAATTCAAAACGAATTGTCATTGGAAGTGCACAATATGTTGTTAGGAGCCATCAACTCTACTATAACTCAGCAACGCTTTGAACAGCAGGTTCAGTTTTGTCCTATCATTTGCCATCCTTATGATCTATGCCATACTCGAGCCTATTGTTGCAGTCATCCTGTCATTCCGTCTCCTGAAGGGCCTTCCTCTCTTTCCCTGACCCTCTTCCTGTCTTAGTTTGATGTCTTTTATCAAAACTTGGTACCTGCTGACATGTCCAAAGTATGTGAGACAAACTTTTACCATCTTTCCCTTTAAAGAACACCCTGGTTGCAGTTTCTCAAGGATAGTTTTGTTTATTCTTTTGGTAGTCCATAGGATATAGTGGCCTAATGGCAAGAAGCTGTGCTGCAATCCTGAAGGCACATGGTTCGGGACCAACAGCTTCTCCTTGGGAAAATGATGGGCAGTCTCTTCCCGTGCAGTTAACTGCCTCTGAAAACCCACTGGAGTGTCAGCTATGGGTCGGTCCCGACTCTCCAGTACACAACAAGAGCAACAGGATGTATTCAGTACTCTTTACAATATCACACTTGTTCATAGTTTCCTACTTTTTTACTGTCCGTAGTATGTAATATGTAATTTCTCATCTCTCTTTTTTTTTCCTTAGTCATATTGCCTACAAGATTACCAATTTTATTATTCTTTTTCTATCATTTTCTTGCTTTGGGCTTAAATTGCCTTATTTTCTCCCTCCCAAAACATTTGCCTGTTATGAAAGGTTGGATAAATGATTAGAGAGATCTCTGTGTTTAATATTATAAATTTCCCCGTAAGACTGTTTTAGCTGCATCCCACAAATCACAGATGTTATGTTTTATTTTCCTGCAGTTTGAAAAGATACTTTGTGATGTTCTTTTTAATGTACAATTTATGTAGAATTGTTATATAATTTCTATATATTTGAAGGTTTTCCGAATATTTTTTCTTCTTCATTGAATTTTTTATGTGACCTTTTTTTTAGTTTTTTATATGAACTTTTAAAGAATGTTTAGAGGTTTGTTTCATGGTTCAAAAAATATTGTTTATCAGGATGGATATTCCATATGGACTTGAGAAAAAATATGTTTTGCTTTGGTTGGGCAAAATGATTTATAAATGTTCCTAGGTCAAATTTGTTTATAGTATTGTTTAGGTCTTTTTTAAATCTTTAGTATTTTTTCTATTTTTATAGATTTTTTTTAAAGGGAGCTCTGGTGGCCTGCAACCCCAAAAGTACACAGTTCAAAAGCACCACCTGCTCCACGGGAGAAGGATGGACGATCTCCTGTGTGATTTACCGCCTCTGAAAACTAGCTAGAGGATCAGCTACAGGTCTATTTCAACCTGACAGCACATAACATTTTTATAGTAACTTTTTTACCTCAGTGTTCAAGTCTCCAGCATTGTTTTACTACACTTGCTCTTGGTCAAAAGGCTGAGAAGAAATTCTAACATAGTTTTAGATTGGTCTATTTCTCATTTCAGTTTTGTCTCTATATTGGGCTTGTTTCCTGTGCTTCGAAGCTCTGTTGCTCAGTTGCATAGTATTTAGAATTGTAGTGTTTTCCTGGAGAGTAGGCCTCTACATCCTTTTGTAACTTCTCTCCCTATCCATTGTAACATTTTTTGTTTTGAAGACCGATTGATAAGAGATAATCTAGCTTTCTTCTAGCTAGGCAATCTCCTCCATGTAATTTACAGACCCAGACCCCCAGTGGAGAGTCAGCTGTGGATCCGTTTTGAACTGATAGCAATGAGTTTGCATTGAGGACTTTAACTTTTTTCTGGTTAGTGCTTGCATGGTATGTCTTTTTCAGCTTGGATGGTATGTCTTTTTCAGTTCTTTTGCGTTTTCATCTGTCAACATTATTATACCTAATATTGTTGTTTTGGAAGCAGGAGTGGCATCCACTTCCATAAATAGCTTGCCTCCAGAAACCCTATGAACCTGGAGAAAGGATGAAAGTCACGCAGGTGTCGAGGACTTTCGTTCATAGGGTCACTATGAGTTGCCAACTACGCCATGGCACTTAACAACAACAACAACAATATTGTTGTTAGATGTTGTCAAATTGACTACAACTCATAGCAATTCTTAGAGAAACTGATCTGAACCTTGTCCTGTCCTATCTCATCTTTACCATCTCTGATACACTTGATCCCATTAATACAGTCACTGTGTCAGCCCATTTTGTAGACGGTCATACTCTCTTTCTCTAACTCCCCACCTTTTCCAGCATGATGTATTTTGTCAAGGACTGTTCCCTCCTGACAACATGGCCCAAGTATGTAAGTGAACATTTTGGCATTCTTGCCTTTATGGAACACCCTGGTTTCACTTCCTCCAAGACAGACTTGTTTTTTCTTTTGACAGTAGACGGGATATTCAGAACGCTTCTCCAACACCACAATTCAAAGGCATCTATTATTGTACTGTCAGCTTTATTCATTGTTCAACTTGCATGTAAATGGAAAATACCATGACTTGGCTTGAGTGTACCTTACTTAGTTTTCAGACTGCCGTTATTGTTGTTTAGCTTTTGGATAAGTCTTTGACAGGAGATTTTTCCCAGTATAACCTGTCTTTTGATTTTTTGATAGATGTTATCATCTGCATTGATTGTGGATCAAAGTAAAATTAAATCCTTGACTCTAATCTTTTCTCCATCTATCATACTTAATAGGGATTTTATTTTGAAGATAGAGTATAATTTGGTATTGTTTTTATTAATTCATGTAGCACTCTCTGTTTTTAATGGATATGCTTAAACAGTTCACATTTAATGTAACAACAAAATCAGTGTATTATACATAATAGAGAGTAAATATGATTTAATGAAATGTACGTCTTACTGTGTGTGCATGTGTGTGTACATTAAATTGTATACAAATACCTATCTTACTGTGGCTCATGGTAATAAAAATTGTCCAAAAAGAAATTTCTTTAGACCAAGATGATGAGATTTCCTATAGTATAAAAAATAGGCCTGGTGAGTTCTGGTGGCCTAGTGGCAAGAAGCTGCATTGCAATCCCAGAGGTAAGTGGTTCGAATCCACCAGATGCTCGTCTGGAGGAGAGACAATCTTCTCCTGTACCAGTCCGATCCGATTTGACGGTACACACAAAAAAATAAAAATTTTTTAAAATAGGCCTATAATTGAGTTATACCCTTGTTTTTTTTCAAATGAGTTTTAATATACAACCCTAAATTTTTAAAAATTCTTAATTTCTCCTCCCATGCTATAATCACTGGATAATGCAGATGGCTACTGTGCTCTCAGCTGTGTAGTTTGAGTTTGTCCAGAGGCTTCTCAGAAAACGGAGATGGGGGAAGAATCAGTCATTGAAAACTCTCATGGATTACCATGAGTTGAAATTAACTAGATAGCAACTAGTAACTATGGAATTATTTGCAGCAAGTATTTTCTACTGAACTAAGTGCTAGGATGCAAATTCCATAGAATTTGTATTTCTCTGGAATAACAACAACAAAATAATAACAATCCTCTGGAGTTCCTCAAATAGATATACTCATGCCCTCTGAAATGCTGTTAACAACAGTGTTAGCTGCCTGAAATTTTACATCCATCAACTCTATAATCTAGAACCTTTTCTTATTATTGTTCTGGAAGGAACTTTGGATTTGAGGCAAAACTATGAAACCAGTTTGAACACAAAAATTGTTTTCTCATAGGTTTCATTTTGAAGTTTGTTAACCTTGAGATTTTCTTTTTTCTTAATGTCATCTTAGAAAATGAGTCCTTGCATTGAGCAAAAATTCTACCGGATTTAGGAAACACTGTCATGGCTGCTGCCTCCTCGTTGAGAAACCTGGAGGAAGAAGTGCTGTGCTCCATCTGTCTTGACTACTTGAGAGACCCAGTAACCATTGACTGTGGTCACGTCTTCTGCTACCACTGCATTATTAAAGTCTGTGAATCCACCAGGCAGCCCCTGCACTGTTCTCTATGCAAGACAACCTTTAAGAAAGAGAACATCCGCCATGTGTGGCAGATGGCCAGCCTGGTGGAGAATGTCAGGAGAATGAAGTTAAATGAACAGAGACAACCCAGAGAGGAAAGATCCTCTGAGCACAAAGCAGACAATCTATGTGGGAGACACCTGGAGAAGCTCCATTACTACTGCAAGGATGACCAGCAGATACTGTGTGTGATGTGCCGGGAGTCCCGGGAGCATAGGCACCATGCTGCTGTTCTGCTTGAGAAGGCTGCACAGCCTTATCGGGTAAGAAGCCTGTTGCACCCCAGCTCTTGTTCTTATTACCAAAAATTCTACAGTACCTTATATGCTAAAGTATACATTCTTTAACCTGGTGAATCCTTGTTAAGACACTAACTTTTTTATTCACATGGGGGGAAAGACGTGTTTTTATCTTCCGTTATAGTGTCACTTATTTCCTGCTGTTGTTATGTGCCATCAAGTTGGAACCGACTCATAGTAGACTCTTCATTGAGCTTGCAGAAGCAGTGACTTGCACAAAAAGAGACTGCTTGCCTTTCTCCCAGAGAGCAGCCGGTAGATTCAAACTGCCTGACTTTGGGATGGCAGTGCAGCTCCTTACCCATAAGGCCACCAGATCTCCCTACTTAGTTGCTACTGCTTCCCCAACAGAAATTCCACAGGTGGATAACTTCATCAGACAGAAATGTATTCTCACTTTAGCAGGGTTGTTGTTGTTGTTGGGTACTATTGAATAGGGCCAGTGAGTCATACAGGAGGAGATTGTCCATCCTTCTCCCACAGAGCAGCTGATGGATTTGAACCATGTGCCTTGGGATTGCACTGGATTTTCTTACCACTAGGCCACCAGACTTTCTATCTGTGTCAGCACACAGGGAAGGTCCTTGTTTCCTTTCTGTGGGCCTGGCATCCATTGGAGATCCCCATGTGCCTTGGCCATCAGGGTATAGGAGGCTTTCAGCACAGGGATTGCGAGTCCAGTGGATACATGATCCTCCTAGCTCTTCTGTTTTGGTTGATTATGTCCTGCTGTTTCCATTATGGAAAAGGCCTTCTTTTGTTCTTAGTGGGATAAACAGTCTGAATGTAGATGTGCCTTTCTTCCTCAAAATACTTCTGAAAAACTACCATCCACCGACTTATAAAATGCCTTGCTCAACATCAGCCACACAGCATTGCCTCAGATCAGTGGACCCAGTTCACAGCGAATGAATTGTAGGAATGTGACCATGGGCACAGCATTCACTGTACCTGCCTTGTTCCCCATCATCGTGAACCACCTTGTTTGATAGAGTGGCCTTCTGTAGACATACATGTGGTAGTAGCTAGGTGATAAATACTTTGCAGGCTTGGAGTATTGTTCTTAAGGAAACTGTATATGCTCTAAACCAGCATTCAGTGAGTGGTGCTGTTTCTCCCATAGCCAGGATTCATAGGTCCAGGTACCGAGCAATGGAAATGGTCATAGCACCACTCAATGTTATCCCTAATGACTCACTTGAAAAGTTTTTGCCTCCTGTCTCCACAACACTGTGCTCTGCTTGACTAGATATGTTAGTTCGAAAAGAAGGAATATTCTCACCAGGAAACACAACCCAGATTCCATTGAACTGTAAGTTGAGAATGTCACCTAGCCACTTTAGGATCCGCAAGCCTCTGGATCAGCAGATAAGAAAGGGTGTTGCCATACTGGCTAGTATGGTTGATCCTACTCATCAAGGGACAATCTGACTGATGTTATGTAACAGAGGTAAAGAGGAGTATGTATAGAGAACAAAAAAATCCCTTAGGGCATCTCCTATTACCTGTGATTAAATTCAGTGAAGAATTATAGCAGTCTAATTCCCACATGATTGCTAATGCCACAGACCCTTGGAATGAAGGTTTGAATTATTCCACCAGGTACAGAACAACAACTAACTGAGATGGTTGCTTTAGGTAAAAGGAATGAGGAATGGGTAGTGAAAGGGAGTCATTCCAAATACCAGCTACCACTGCATGATTAGCTGCAGAAATGAGGACTATAATTGTTAGAAATATGTGTTCTTTGCATGTGTGCATACATATACACAATTTTTTTAAAAACGTCAATCTTTTAAGGATGTGTCAAAGTTAGTTGTTAGAAGCCTGGAGCTTCATGTGACACAGCTTTCAGACAAGTTTCTGGGGTGATTAATACTACCAGAAAATCATCAGAATATCTTCTTTGGTGAAAAGTCTTATCATATTTTTTGCTCCTTTTGTGATTGGGTTGAAGTGCTGGAGTGTTCTAGAAATTTTAAATATGAATCCCTTATCAGATGTCATTGCTAAATATTTTCCCAGTCTGTGGACTTACTAAATATACCATAAATTTCTAGGAGAACAGACAGATTCACCCTGGAGAGGGTGAAACTAGGCTGCCCCTGAAGCTCTGTCTGACATACATTGGGCATGTTGCAAGAAGGGACCAGTCCTTGGAGAGGAACATCAAGCTTGGGAGGGTGGAGGGACAGTGCAAGAGAAGACGGCCCTGGATGAGATGGATTCACTCATTGACTTGGGTAATGGGGGTAGCTGTGGCAGAGATAATGAGATTGGTTCAAGATAGAGCAGGGTTCAGAGCTGTTGTACATTGGGTCGCTATGAGTCGCAAGCAACCCGATGGAGCATAACAACAACAATACCCACACAAACACACACATACTAAAGCAACCCAAGTGCCCATCAACAAACAAATGGATAGAAAAACTATGATACATTCACACAATAGAAAATTATGCAGCACTGAAAAACAGTGAATGTATAAAACATTACATATGATTGAGCCTGGAAGACATTATGCTGAATGAAATAGCTTAGTCACAAAAGGACAGACACTACATAACACCACTGTTATAAAATAGGACTGACATAGAGGGTTGGGAAGAGAATAGGAAAAGAGTGGATAGATAATGAACACTGCATTGGAACAGATGAGTGGAAGAACTGTCTGGAAGGAATATATGATTAGGCATTGTATGACAACAATCTGTAATAAGAGGTACATTACAAAATGCACTGGGGAAGGGTGAATGGTGGGGTAGGGAAGAAAAGGTGCAACAATGAATGAATAATACTTTTTTTTAACCTTAGATTAGAGCTAGATTTGTTCCTTCCCCCCCGCCCCCCGATAATCTTTATAGTTTTTTGCTTAATCCCTAGGTCCCTGATCCACCTTTTGTTGTCTCTTGTATATAATGGGAAGTAAGATCTTGATTCTGGTTTCTGAAGATGATTGTCCAGTTTTGCCTGCACCATTTGTTAAAAAGACTTGTAATTTCCCCACTTAACTGATTGAGAAAGATCAATTGACCATAAATGGATGGTTTGATTTCTGGGTCCTCGATTCTATTCCATTTTTCTATGGATCTGTTGCTGTGCCAGTGTTGTGTTGTCTTGATTACTGTGGCTGTGTAGTAGGTTTTAAGATCAAGGAGTGTGATGCCTCCTACTTTTTTTTCAGTAGTTTTTTTGCTTATTTGGGATCTCTTTCCTTTCCTGATAAAATTGGAAATTGCTTGTTTCATCTCCTTGAAGAAAAGCATTGGTACTGCATTGAACTTATAGATTGATTTTGGTAGAATTGTAATTTTCACAATCTTGAGTTTCCTGGAGAGTGTATTGAATATACCATGGACTGCTAGGAGAATAAACAGGTTTGTCCTAGGAGAGGGTGAAATCAGGCTGCTCCTTGTAGACAAGGATTCTGAAGCTTCATCTGACATACATTGGGCATGTTGCAAGGAGGGACCAGTCGTTGGAGAGGGACGTCATGCATGGGAGAGGGTAGAAGGACATCGCAGGAGAGGAAGACCCTCGATGAGATGGATTGATTCAATGACTGGGGTAATGGGGGTAGGTGTGTCAGAGACGGTAAGATTGGCACATAATAGAACAGGGTTCAGAGATTTTATACATAGGGTTGCTACGAGTTGCCAGTTGCAAGTGACTCAATGGCACATAACAACAGCATCCTCCATGAGCATGATATATTCTACCATTTATCTATATCTCTTCTTTTTTCCCTCATAGTAGTGTTTTATAATTTTGTTTACATAGATCGTTTATATTTGTAGCTGACAAAAATAGCCAACACATACATAAAGGAATGCTCAAAATCACTAGCTATTGGAGAGGTATAAATCAGAAAAATAGTGTGATGATATCTTTTTACTACAGCAACAACAGGTTTTAACAGGTTGGCAGAGTTTAACAGGTTAGTAAAGTTGGACAAGGATACAGACATTGGAACTGTCTTACACTGCTGGTGAGAATGTAAAATGGTATGACTATTATGGCAACCAGGAAGGCAGTCTGGTGCTTCCCTAAAAAGTAAAAGATAGAAATACTATATGATCCAGCCATCCTATTATTGGGAATATACCCTAAAGAAATCAATCAGAGGGGCAACATGAACAGATAGGTGCACACTCATGTTTATTTCAGCACTCTTCACAATAGCAAATAGAAAGAAGCAGCCCAAGTTCTCATCAACAAATAAATGGATAGAGAAATTGTGGTACATTTATACTATGAGTATTACACAGCATTGAAAAAACAGTGAACTTATGAAATGCCACATAATATGGATGATTCTGGAAGACATTATGCTGAATGAAATACCTCAATCACAAAAGGACAAATACTATTTAAAACCACTGTCATATAAAATTGTTAGAGGGGATGAAGGGAGAGTTAGAGTATAGAAAAAGAGTAATTTTTGGACTGCAATAGGTAAAAGGAAGTTCAATCTGAAATAAATAGATAAGTAGCTATTACATATATTGCTATTAATAATCTGGCACAAGGGTAGGGCGTGGAAACCAGAGAGGTGGGGAAGGTATACAACAAGGCTTTGCTTTAAAAGTAAAAAGTTAATTGCAACAATCAATGGTTATTAATGCCTATGAATGATTTTTGTAAAACTAATGTGTTTGTAAACTTTTGCCTTTCACTAAAATAAAAAACAAATAAAAAAGAATACAAGAGAGCAACACATTTCATAGAATAATCAACCATGTAAGATCACTGGGGCAGCATTGCCTAGAGACAAAGCTCAGAGGGCAGAAAATGATACAAAAGAAGAATGAATAGAGAGATTCGGAAACACAAGAAGGATAAGGGAAGAGTGCTGTTATAATATGGGGATTGTAATCCGGTTATAACAGGAATTGTTGAATTGAAAAGCCAATTTGCTCTGTAAGTTATCACTCAAATGACTATAAAAAAGAAACCACAAAAACTATACAATGAGTCTTAGCAGTTGTAATAAATTATTTTATCGCATTTCTTACAAATTACTCTGAGACACTGTGTTTCTGTTGACACGGTGCCTGACACAGTGGGCTCTTGTGTGTCAGGAAGCGTGAGGATGGCGCAGGATAGAACACGGTTCAGATCTCTTGTTCCAAGGGCCACTATGAATCATAATCGACTCGACAACACCGAACAACAACAACATCAAAGAAGAAAATATTTCATATGACAAGTGAAAGAAATTTGCTCTGTGGTGCCATGATTAAATATTAGTTGCTCACAGAAACATTAGCAGTTTAAACCTACGCAGTGGTTCCACGACAGAAAAGATCTGTGATCTGCTCCCATAAACATCCTAACCCAAGAAACACTGCAGAGCAGGTCTGCTCTGCCACAAAAAATCAGAATTACTCAATGGTACAGGGACCAAGGCTTCTGATTCACTCTGGGATCACTCTTTTTTCTGGTTGAAGGCATTTTTATCCTGTTCTTGGAAACTATCCATGTTTATTTCTATAGAGTAAAATTCTAAACCACCTGAAGATTCTGAAGGGAGATAAGGACCGGATTCAGAATTTCCAGTGTACAGGAGAAAATGAGATTCAAGCCCTGCTGGTGAGAGTTCTGTGTGAATGCTCTATGTACGTGTGTGTTGTAAGGAGGGGAGGGAAATAAGGGAGAGGAGGGGATTCATGTTCTGCACTTACCCTCAGATCTCACAAATATTCCAGAGTTTCTCATCTCTCAGAAGAAATAACATTTCTTTTTCTCCATTTACTGTAGACAAAATTTCAAAACCATAGACAAGACATCATGTCAATGTTTGAACAAGGTCATCAGTTCTTAAGAGAAAGGGAGCGGTACTTGTTGGAGTGGCTGGAGGGGCTAGAGCAAGAAGTTACCGAAGGGAAGAGTAAGTGTAATACCAAGGGCTCTGAGGAAGTCAGCAGGCTTGGGGGCCTGATTTCTGAGTTGGAGAAGAAAGCTGAGCAATCCGCTCTTGAACTTTTGCAGGTGAGAGACCAACTAAACTGAATCTGAGTCCTCATGTTCCAGGTTGCACCAAAACCCCTCTTCAGTCTTCACCCTGAAACCCACAGCGTCCCTTTTCAGCAGGAAGTAGCTAAGAGAATACGCCATCCCCTTTTCCTTATGACTCAGGGTGAAGTCTCTCTCAGGGAGGAGTGATAGGGAATGGCAAAGGACACACTGACAAAGGAGATTAATCAGAACTGGCTTTGACAAGCACTGTGGCATTTGGACAAGAACAAACTGGGAGGAGGGTAGAGAGAATAGTGCAACAATGAATGAATGGAAACCCAAAATCTCTGTAAATGTTTATGAAAGTTAATAAAATATAATTATAGGAAAAAAGACCACACACACAAAAAAACCCACAAAAACCCAAAATCCAAAAAAAAAAACCTCTTCAGCAGGAGAAGGAGACAAGGAGCTGGAGAGAAATTTTTTTTTAGTTATTCCATAAGTTAATCAGCCAACAAAAAAGTTTTAAGCTTCAAATTGCACTGAGCAGAAGACTATAATATGTATGTTGTTGTTACTTACTATCAAGTCGGAACCAGCTTCATAACTGACCCTCCAGTGGGTTTTCAGAGGCAGTAAATTGCATGAGAGAAGATGGCCCTTTTTTTCCCCTGCTTAATGTGTATTGTTGTTGTTGTTATGAGGTCTCAATGAGTCGAGTACGACTCACAACAACCCTGTGAACAAAAGATCTGAACCCTGTTCTATAGACCATACAAAATAATAGTAAAATATATACCTTTATAATTACAACAAATAATCAAGATTAAATTTTGTAGTCAGGATGGAGATCCAGAAATTTTGTAAAGTCTGGAGTTTAATCAGTGAAGGCTTCATAAAGATGAGGGTCTTGACGAAAGTACAAAGATGTGGCATTGGCCTTGAGGAAGGCCTATTTTAAACCAAAGCTTCAGCAAAAAGGAGTTGAATATTTGGTGGAATGAAGGAGGAAACGAAAGAAGGTATTGGTTGGAATGAGAGAAATGAATGTGGTAATACATTTGGTGTATGTGTGGACAAGCATACCACTGTAGGTGGTGGGCTGGAAGGAAGAGGATGTAGATATACAATAGGGCAAACTACCTTCTAGAACAGTCAATTTATGTGAGAAAGAAGTTAAAGAGAACATGAGATGGGGCTCACTGAGGAGAGATCTTCCAAGGCAGACTCTTATCTGATTGACAGTAAGATTCTTACAGTTAATTATGTAGAGATATAGAGAAATGTAATCATTTAGAAAGATTAATCTGTCAATTGTATAGATTGTGCTGAAGGAAAGAGTAAAGAGGAAGAAGGATCCTGCTAAATAATCTGCTAAAAGACTCTTAGGAATGAAAAGATGAGATGTTTTGAGACTATAAACAGAAATAATATGGGATGAATATTTTGAAAAATGAGTCAATGTGATTTTTCAAATTATCTTCTTGTGGCCTTATTTTCTCAGATATAAAAATAAGAAAGATATTTCACATATTATTTGATCTCAGAAGTTGGTACTATGAAGAATTAAAAAAGCCTGTTTCAATATCGGCATGAATGTAATTTAATGTGTGTTATTTTATCATGGGAGAAGGATGGGCAGTCCCTTCCCTTGAGATTTACTGTCTCTGAAAACCTGCTGGAGGGTCAGCTATGGGTGAGTTCTGACTTGATGGCACATAGCTACAACAACAGGAATTTAATAATAAAAGCAAGGCCCATCTTTTTTCTTTTTACCCTTTGGAAAAAGGTTAAGCACTATCCACATTATTGTTAACATGACTTCTTAGCACTATCACATTGCTGTGGCAGTCCAGAAGGAAGTTTGGAAGTTTTAGGTGGTAATTATATTATGATTCTTCTTACTCACAGGTAGTCAAAAGGGGCTTTTATGTGGCCAAAGAAATAAAAATGAGGAGAGAAAATTTCTTTCTATATGTGGCAAGCATGAGCTGGGTCTAATGGGCTGGAGAATGGATAGTGGAGGAATGGAGAAAGGATGTAAGTCAAGGATGGTTTCCTGGAGGAGATAGCATAAAACCAGATACAGAAAAGAAGGGAGAAGCATGCATCCCAAAAATTGACACCACAGTGAAAGCAGAGTAGGTCAGACCCATCAAAATAATTCTCTGTGCATTTCTGTTGTGTTCTCATTCCCCAAAGACCCTAAAGTAGGCAATGGTGACAATAACTCTTAGAACTCTTATTTCCATGACAGTGTTTATGTTCTCTTCTTTCTAGAGTCCAGATGACATAATAAGCAAGTAAGTGCTTCTTTCTTCTTTTCTTACGGTATTCCTTCATTTTTTGGTTTGCCTGGGTTTTCGGGGGGTTTTTTAGTAACAGAAACTCCTCCTTCCTTTTTGGTTCTCTTAAATCTCTTTGTCTGGTTTGAAGAAGAAGAACTTGGTCTTACTTGCCCTTCCTCATGATGAGGGAAGGGAAGCCTTAATACTGTGGCTTCTCAAAGAAATCTTTATTACCAGCCCTCTCTCATGAATACTTATACCAAAACCAAAAGCCCACTGGTCTCTGCTGGAGAAGGAGGGCCAATCTCCTGTACCAGTCAGATCTGATTTGACGGTACACACCCAAAAATAGTAATATTTTAAAAAACCCAGAGGCTGCACCACACATGCCATGGCTTCGTCTCTGAGACACCCGGCAGCTCCCAGAGACTGGAAAAGACAGTCAGAAAGGAACGTACAGCATCCATAAACCAGACACCCCAAGGAATCAGGAACAGCCAGCTCCTCTCACAAAGCAACAAGGAGCTGCCACCACCGTGTACTGTGCAGCCTCCCCGGAACTGGAGGGCCTGGGAGGGATGTACTTCAACAACTGCTGTCGCTGTGTGTCCTCGTCGGAAGCTCAGAGCGAGGACATGGCCCGGGCCCTGTGGGAGCTCAGTGAGAGGCTGGTCCAGGAGCGGCTCGGGAGCCAGTCCGGCTAAGATAAGAGGGGACTCCCCAAAGAAATAGCACACACACTGCCCCCCACCAAGTAGTGTGCATGCCTAACTGCCAACCCTAAAACACCCCCCCACCCCCTGGGCACAGCTCAGCCAAGACAACCAGCAGTCACAACTGAAGTCCCATGGGAGCCAGGGCATTCTAGGGAGAAAAGGGCCATGTCTCTTTTCTGGGGTCAGAGGAGACAGTGGAACCTAGGGTGGCCTGGGGGTGTTGCCTCTGCTCCTGGAAGACACACACAAGTCATCCTGGCCCCTGTTTAGGAACCTAGCATTCCCTGTCCCTCCCAGCCACCACCAGCCAGGTGACCCCAGAGCGAAATGTCTCTTAGGGTGAATGTTCAGTCTTCATTCCTGCATGGATCTGGGAGATGATCCCTGTGTTCACCCTGACAGAATCTGAATGGGCTTGGAGATGGCCAGGGAGAGAGCTCTGAGCCTCACTCCAGCCAGCCAAGATGATTGGGAAACGGGGTTGGGCAGGGCCAGCCATCCACTCCTTCACCAAAGCTGTAAAAGAATGTCTTGAGCGATACCAGCAAATACCTTCCTGATATCACTCCCTCCTCGGTGCTTTGCAGGAAAGGTGACAGCTCACCCTTAATGTAGAGGATCTTGGGGGGAGTGGAGGCTACCATATTGTTCTGTTTAATACTTCATTCACAGTCTGAAGAAGTAACCTGTTGTCTGGAGGTCTCGCATCTGTCCTGCTTCCTTCTGTCCCTCCCAACTTATGCTTAAATAAAAGAGCATGCTTGATATAAAAAAAAACAACAACCCAAACTCACTGGTATTGAGTAATTTCTGATTTGTGGTGGCCACCCGCTGGGAAGAACACAGTAGACTTGATACCTTTAAATTGCAACTGCCAAAAGAATGAGCAAATCTGTCTTAGAAGATGTAGCAAAAAGAAAGAAATAAAGCCCTTGTTATTTTCTTACTAAAAAAAAAGAAGAAGATATGCAGGCAGAGTGTTCCTTAGAAGGAAGGATGGTGAAAGCATCTCACATACGTTGAACATGTTATCAGGAAGGGCTAATCCTTGCAAAAAGACTTCATGCTTGGAAAAGTAGAGAATCAGCAAAGGAGAGGAAGACCGTCAATGAAACAGATTGGCGTAGTGACAAGAACAAGGCGTTAAAGTGCAGCACAGATTGTGAAGGTGGTGTAGGGTCAGGCAGGCTTTCATTCTGTTGTTTATAGGGTCATTGTGAGTTGAAGCTGACTTGAAGGCATTTAACAACAAACTTAATGGGAAGAGACTGCTCCTTCTTTCTCCTATGGAGCAGCTGATGGGTTGGAACTGACGACTTTTTAGTTAGCAGCTCACAACTTAATCTATTGTGACACTGGCCTCCTTCATGAACTTACAAAAAAAAAAATCCTAACCCGCTGCCCTTAAGTTGTTTCTGACTCTTATCAATCTTCCATCAAATTTATGAGGCTAAAATCTTTCTGAGAAAGACACCAATCTTTCTCCTTTAGAGAAGCTGGTGGATTTGAACTGCCCATCTTCCAGTTAGCAGTGTGATATATTAAACACTAAGCTGTCTCTATTCCTTCTCTTATTAGAATCCAAAGGTGGATGATGAGCATATGGTAGCTTAAATTATAGTAGGCCATCTATTTTGAAAATACCACACTGTTACATTAGACTGTTATAATGAGATGGGAGAGTTCTTGGAATCTGTATCTTAGCCCATACTCTGAAACTTCCTATTATACTTACTTTTACTTGCCCAATCCTTTTGCCTCTTCTCAGTTTTTAATAATAATTTGAAACTTCATTCCATGTTATGATACCCCTCCCACCATATAGGGTATGTTTCCTCTACTTTAGTAATTATATCTAACTCACATTCATTTACTATATTATTATGGTTATGTTATTATTGTTGTTAAGTGCTGTCAAGTCAACAACAGCTCGTAGCGACCTGATGAACAACGCCACTGAACCCTGCCCTATCCTGAGCCAACCTCACCATCTCTGACATACCCACAATCGCCATGTCAGACCATTTCATCCAGGGCTTCCCTCTCCTGCACTGACCCTCTGTCCTCCAAGTATGATGTCCTTCTCCAAGGACCAATCTCTCCTAGCAAAATGTCTAAAGTATATGAGAGAGAGTTTCAAAAGCCTTGCCTCCAAGGATCAACCTGGTTTCACCTTCTCCAGGACAGGACAAACCTATTTGTTCTCCTGCCAGTCCATGGTATATTCAGTACTCTTCTCCAGCACAACTCAAAGCCATCAATACTCATTTTGTCATCCTTAGGCATTGTTCAACTCACAGAGACACAGAAGAAATTCACTTTTAGTTTACTAGTTTAATGATGTGTTTCTGTTTCTTGTTTACCTTAAATTGAAAGCCTCATTTTATAGAATGGAGTTTCTGATTTGCTGTGGACTTGACCATGAAACAATTCCCAGCCAGTTTTCTTTCTACTACCTTGCTAGCATTCAACCTATTGAGTACATTTTTTGCCCCAATTTGTTTCCATTGCCTGAGTGCTAATTGTTGTTGTTATGTGCCATCCAGTCACTTGCAACTCTTAGCAACCCTATGTACAAAAGCCCTAAACCCTGTTCAGTCCTGTGCCAATCTCACTGTCGCTGACACACCCACCCCAATTACACTCAGGCACTGAATCAATCCACCTCATAGAGGGTCTTCCCCTCATGCGCTGTCCCTCCACCCTCCCAAGCATGATGTCCCTCTCCAAGGACCTGTCCCTCCTTGCAACATGTCCGAAGTATGTCAAATGAAGCCTCAGAATCCTTGCCTCCAAGGAGAAGCCTGGTTTAACCCTCTCCTAGAAGAACCTGTTCATTTTCTTAGCAGTCATGGTACATTCAATACTCTTCTCCGGCACCAGAGCTCAAAGGCATCAATTCTCCTTCTATCCTCCCTAGTCACTGTCCAGCTCTCTGATGCATAGCACGTGATTGCAAAGACCATGGCCTATATCAGGCACACCTTAGTCTCCAGAGTGATACCATTTCTCTTCAGTACCCTGAAGAGGTCCCTAACAGTGCTAGTAGAAATAAAATTTATTTCTGTAAGTTTATCTGTACTTTTTTAAAAAAGCCTCATTTTAATTTTTATTCTTTTGGTATAGATTCTCAATTTTTTTCATAAGTTATGTCAGTAGTAGCATGTTTCTGAGATCTTCTGCAACAGAAAATTACTTCTTTTCTTTCTAATCACCTTGGTGGTATAATGGGTTACGTATTGGACTGCTAACCAACAGATTTGGACTCACTAGTCACTTCATGGTAGAAGGATGTGGCAGGCTGCTTCATTTAAGATTTACAGCCTTGGAAATGTCATGGTCACCATAAGTTGGAATCTACCAGATATTCTGGTTTTTGTCTAAGTGATATATTGGTGAGTAGAAAATACTTGGAAGACCCTAAATGGTGCAAATGGCACTTAAGAAAGGTGGCAGTTTGAACCTCAAGTGCCTCATGAAACAGACCTATCATTTGCTTCTGAAAAGTCCCAGCCTTGGAAACTGTGTGGAGCAGTTCTGTTCTGCAAACAGGGTGTGATGATTCATAATTGACTCAATGCTAATAAATAACAGACAATACTTGAATGGTAGCTTTTATTCTCAAAAGTCTGTATGTCTTGTTCTTTGACCCTAATGTTGAAACTGAACATTTGCAAGTGCTGCTTTCATGCTCTTCTTTTGGCCTTTCACTGGTCAGTGTGCGTGTGTGTGTGTGTGCGTGTGTGCGTGTGTGTGTGCGCGCGCGCGCGCGCGCGCACACACATGTGTAAGTACTTAGTTACAGTGGTGAATTCATACTTTTTTTTTCTTTACTTCCTACTCTGACTACTCTCTCTAGATATCCCCGGAAGAAGTTCTGGATTGAAAAACCTATAAGTCGAACAATAAAAAAACGAACAGAAGAATTTTCAGATAAATTGCTTTCATTAGAGAAAGGACTCAGAGGATTCCATGGTAAACAAATAGTTGTAGGAAGGGATTCTTGGTCTTAAGAGCTTTGCTTTCTTTTTTTCCTATGATGATTCTTTTTTATTCTGACCTAAGCTTCCCAGAGTTCTTGCTCCTGTGCATATAATTCATATGCAGATACATTGGGGTGAGGATGTAAGCAGGTCCAGGTAAAATTTGGAAAACTTTCCAGGTGACAGTCTATGAAAGTTATTCAGCAAAGGTAAAATTATAATCAAAAGGTCCGAGTTAAAATATACTTTGTACTTAAAGATGAGGCAAAAGAATATTAGGAGAATGATCCTCAAAGAGATCACTTTGATAAGAAAATCGTATGATTTAGGACTAGGAATTTAGGACTTAAACAGAGAATATGCCCTATCATTCTTGTCAACGAAGGCTAAGTCCGTCTGGCAGATGTTGTCATGGATCCTTGAATGAACCATATCAGAATGGACAATTCTGCATGTCTCCTGTAGTGATTGCTCTATTTGCCTTTAGTTTTCAGAGGGCCCCTCTGTTTTAAAGTTGAATTGTTCACCAGCAAGAGAGTTTGTCCTAGAAAGATGTGGCGATAAATCACACTGTCTTTTTTTTCTTTCATTCTAGGAAAACTGATGAGGGAACTGGAATATAAAACAAGTAAGTGTCTGCAAAGGATGCTCTACTGATATTTATCTCAAAGTAAACTTTCCCACCCCAAATTTCAGCTTTTCCTTGAAACTCCTTTACTTATACATTAGCTCTTTAGCTAGAAAATCTTTTATGATGGCTAGTCTATCCCAAGAGAGCTCTAAGGGCAGAGTCCAGAAGTAGCTGCACTACTAGTCCCAATGTAGCACTGGTCTGGTAATTTAAGTCCACCAGTGGCTACTCTGGAAAAACACTCACAGTCTCTTCCCATTTGACTTAGAACCTAGAAAGCTGCTGAAGGGTCAGTTTTCAGTCAGTTCCAACTTGACAGCAGTGAGTATATTGAATTGGATGAATCTACTTCTCCTGAGCCTTTAGATTTCAAAGTTACAACTTGCCCCTAATTTCCCCCAACTATAATTCTCCCAGTCCCCCCTCTATCTTTCACCCCCACAAGTCCTATCATTTTGACTGTGTCCCTGAATTTATGATCTATCCATTTTCTCTTTGTGTTTTGGAAGTTAATAGTGGCATAAGCACAAAGGCTAATACAGTCTCTGTCCTGGTCCCAAGAAGTATCTTCCACTAATGTTAGAAGGGCTCTAGACCATTGGATTAACTCTCTTGAAATCTTCTATGATGTCACACCTTAATCCCTTTGTCCCCACAGTGAGGATCATTCTGAATACCCAGACAGCCAATGGCTACCTCTCAGTGTCTGCAAATGGGAAGAGTGTGATATTCACAGGCTTGTGGATGAACAAATACCAACATGGTCAGCGATTTGATCCTGAGCCTGGTGTACTGGGCAGTAAGGGCTTCACCTGGGGCAAAGTGTACTGGGAAGTGAAAGTGGATAGAATATGGTGGGAAGCAGAGGAAGAAGAAGAAGAAGCAGTGAAATACAGGGATGCAGCCAGAAGTGTGCTTAACAGTAACTATTTTGGTGAATTCATGGGCATTACGGATGGATATCATTTTACTGGATATAGAAATGAGAATGAAGAGTTAGAGGAGGGATGGTCACAGGAAAATGGAATATGGCCCAAATTCGGCTTGGTGGGAGTGGCAAGAGAGTCTGTGGTGAGAAGGGGATTTCTCAACTTCACCCCAGAGGAGGGCTTCTGGACTCTGCAACTGTCTTCAGCTGGAGTCTATGTATGTGCTAGCCCTGAGCCTTTTCAGATCTTGTCCTACTGTCCAAGGCAGATTGGAGTGGCTCTGGATTATCAGGGGGGAAAAGTAACTTTTACCAATGCCAGAACCCAGGAGTTTATCTATGAATTTTCATCTCCCTTTACTGGGAGAATTTTCCCTTTCCTGTGGCTTAATTGCATGAGATCCAGGCTCACACTGAGACCCTGACGGAAGACATTATGGTCATAATCCTAAATTATTTTATTTATCCCTTATTCCTCTACATCATTCCCAACTCTCTAACTTAATTAACTCTTCTTTTGGATTCTGAGTCCCCTTGACTGACTGGAGCAGTGTGGTTTGTAGTCAGGAGTCCTCTCTGCTTTATCTCTAAGATGAGAAGAATACTTACTTACTCTGCTTTATCTACCATGGAACGTTTCAAATGTCATCAAAGTATCTATTAAAATTAGTGCTATTACTGATTTCATTTTCTGTTTCTTTGATTTGGTGCTTTGTCATAGAGACAAATGTTTGAAATATTAGAAAGGTGTGAAATGTCATCCAAGTGCCTATTAAAATTAGTCCTATAATTAATTATTACCTCCTATTTCTTTGATTTGGTGCTTTGTCACAGAGACACACAAATTTGGTGCTCTCTGTCACAGAGACAAATGCCTGACGGTGACTACATCCTAAGATCACACCACCACCACTGATGGTAATTGATTACAACATCCATATTCATTTCTAAAGCACTTTCCCTGTCAGACAGTTTCTTCTGATGTCTTTCTAATCAATGGGGGAAACATTTCATGGCAATTCTTGCCTGGCTAAGCATTTGATATTTACATATTTTGAGATTAGAGATACTTGGAGTATTAACTATTCCTACTATATCCTTTTAATATAGTATTCAGTATTCTTTTAATATATAAATATATATCTTTAAATATAGTATACTATATCCTTTAAATATAGTAATTAAATATACAGGGTTGGGGTTTTTCATTGGTTTGCTTACAAAGTTCATATACATCGTGTTTAACACTATTCTTCATTCACATTGTGTTTCATACAATCATTCACATACATTATGTTTTAAAAAATTAATTACCATTGGACCTTGCCCATCATTACCCTGTCTTTCTTTTCACCCTGATTCTTCCTATTTTCTTCCCCCCCTCCCTCCACCCACCAAACTCTGCAACCCTGTGGTTTCACCCCTACCCACCCTTACCTCTCTACTCCCACCCTTCCCCCCTTTATTTCCCATACATTAATCTACAGTTTTTATGAAAAGGAAGGAGGAAGTCTTGTGATGTTCAGACATACATGTTTTTAGAGATCAGCTGATCTTTAAGTAAGCAGTGTGAACTGAGTTTGATAATGTGTAAATATTTAATTAGGTTAAATTAATAATCCTAGTAATAAGTAATAGAAGTGACTGGCTAAATTCCAAGAAGAGAGCTATATTAAACAATGCTGTCATTACTGGGGCATGTAGAACACCATGAAGGACTGAAACCTGTTGACCCTTTTGCACATTCTGGAGGCTCCGTGAAGAGTAGAGGGGTCAGTGTAAGAGCTACATCACAAAGAGAGAAGAGGAAGTGGAGGTATCACTCAAAGTGAACAGAATTGTCAATATGTAACTAGAACCTGATATGGACAGGTACTAAAATATCAGAAAATTTCTGATAGTTCAATTTAAGAGTGTTTTTTGGAAAATAGGACCAACTACTAGGAAGTCACTATATCTTACATGCATATGCATCAATACAGGAAAGTTGATGCAGGCTGCCAAAATTAATTATATGCTCTGAATCTTCAATATATAATAACAGGGACACAGCAGTTTACAACCAGGATGGTTTGGTATTTCTGTGGGTTTTTTTTTTTCAATAGCTCAGGTCTTAATCTAGAATATTCTATTACAGTTCAGTCTACATGAAGTAACTTACAGGACCTACAGGAAGAGATTTTATGGGTTAAGGATGGCCTAATGATTTGTTTGAAGATAACGTTGAATCAGTATATGAGTAAGCAAGACAGTGGTAAAACTCCTCCTCCTTAGAATCTTTTGCATACTTAGAAGTCAATGTCAAACAGCCCCGGGTGGCACTTTGCTGACAAAAAAGTCATTGGTTTGAGCCCACCAGCTGCTCAGTTGAAAACTATGTGGCAGACGGCTTCCATAAAGATAACCTAGGAAACGCTATGGGCTTATTCTGTTCAATCCCTGTAGGGTTGCTATGAGTTGGAGTGATTCAACAACAACAGACTTTTTCCCCCCTGATTTATGTCTTACAAGATAGAGGAACAGAAAAACATCAGCAGAAAAGAGCCCTAAAACAATCAGCAGATCTGAATCTGATCCTGGAATGGAAAACTGCTGCTGCCTATTTGAACAAATGCCAGCATTGCAGTCTTAAAAAAAGAAATCTTCTCTTATATATTAAGTCTGGAGCAGTCAATTCTACAGAGGTTTGTTTTCTGGTTTTGGTGAAGCTTAGGGTAGAATGTTTACTCACCATTGGGTGTGAGTTGATTTTATTCAGCCTCCTATTTAAAAAGGCATTTGGTAACCAGCATGGAGCTGGAATCCAGGTTGGGAAGTTATCTGGAGCAGCTGTATTCTACAGAGGTTGTTTTCTGGTGCTGGTCATTGGGTGTGAGTTGATTTTATTTGGCCTCTAATTTAAAAAGGCATTTGGTTTTAATTGTTTTTGGCCAAACATTCCTTTAAGTGGTATAGCACTGGTCTGTCCATTTGCTGTACAGAGGTAACTCATGGTTGCTGTAATGCTAAACACTGTGACACGGATGTGTCGAATGTGATAATGGTTACCCTTGGTGGACAGTGTTTGGTGGAGATCCCCAGTTAAAACAAGCTTGGAAGCAGGAATGGCATCCACTTCCAAAATAGCTTGCCTCTGGAAGCTCTGTGAACCTGGAGAAACGATGAAAGTTAAACAAATGTTCAGGTCTTTCATTCATAGGGTCATTATGAGTTGTCTAGGACTTGACAGCACTTAACAACAACAACATATATTATTATGAAGAATTTCAATTGCACACTGCTGTAACAGATACCACAAACAGACATTTATTCTTTTACCATTTTGGAGGATAGAAGTCCAAATTCAGGGTGCCAGCTCTCGGGGAAGACTTCCTCTGTCATTTCTAGAGGAAGGTTCTTGCTTCCTGCAGCATCTGTAGGCTCGGCAATCCTTGGAGATCTCCATATGTCTTGACCTGCCCCTGTGCAAAGAGATGCCCAGCCTAAGACTGAGCTCTATTGTTGGGCTTCTTCCTTGGTGGTAACTGCAATCCTATTCTCTGCTGATTTCCTCTCTCCTTTTATCTCCCATGAAACAAAAAGTGTTGCAGACCAGAGGACTTCCATTAGATGAGTGCCATGATGAGATTAAGAGTGTTGCTTTCCATCCTTAATCCTTTTATAACTGCTTGGTTGGTCAGATCACGGAGGATCATGACATAATTTCTACATTACATCATTATACATCATACTTTTCAGGGATACAATTCAGACCATGACAGTTAAATAACAATAAAATTTCATGTTGTTGTTGTTGTTGTTATGTGCCGTCGAGTCGCCTGCGACTCATAGCGACCCTATGTACAACAGCCCTAAACTCCGCTCTGTCCTGTGCCAATCGCACTGTCTCTGACACTCCCATCCCAATTATCCCAGTCACTGAATCAATCCACCTCATAGAGGGCCTTCCTCTCCTGCGCCGTCCCTCCACCCTCCCAAGCATGATGTCCCTCTAAGGACCAGTCTCTCCTCACTACATGTCCAAAGTAAGTTAGACGGACCCTCAGAATCCTTGCCTCCAAGGAGCCACCTGGTTATTGACATTTAAAAATCTTTATTCCTAGCATACATGAAAATGCCAAAATATTATATTCTGTCAAAATCATTCTAGCAGGTAACTTTCTGGGGTTGTTGAAATCATTGGGTGATTAAGGAATATACAGCTTTATAGTCTAGTTCAACTTGGACACAAATACATTGGGAAAATTTACTATCCAAAGGGAAGGAGACGATTTCTATGGCATTTAAAGTAAAATACAATGATGGTCTTAAATTATGTGTTGTATTTGACTAAATTGCTGCTTTGTGTAGATTTCCATTTTAATCCGTATGAAAACTGGTAAGAGGAATATCACAAGATCCCTGGTGGACTGGAAGCAAGTGTGTTAGTCACATGCCAGGAGTAATGTCCACAAGTCATGTTACAGAAAGAGGCTTATGAAGATGGCTGTTGCTGCCACTGCCACAGATATTGCTAGTGTAGTTGGCCCAAGGACATCATTGGTAGTGGACAGTGCCTCTGCTACTTGTGAAAACTGGGTGTTGCTGTTGCTGCTACTGTTCTACTTGTTAGAGTAGATTATTCATCATTTGTGAAGGAGAGGAGTACATAGCATGTAGTTAAAGGGTAACATCTTTATGAGGGTTCAGAGGACTCAGAAGTTCCAGCTGATGACAAGTGGACATGATTCTTGCAACACTGTCTAGGAGCATTATGTCAGTACAATTGTCTGTAACTGGAACAGGTGAAGTACAAAATATTTATCTACAAACTGCATTTACACAGTGCATTTGTCATATAGAACGTGTTTAAGTTTATTTATATGTAATATGAAAGAAGAGACTTATTTACAACTTAATCATACTACTTTTAGATTCTAAAATTCAAACCCTTGTAAGAAAATCTCTCCTTGTGAGGTAAGGCAGATGGAATACTCGGTAGTAGATCAAAAGTTCAGCCAGCTGGGAGCCTGCATCCTTACCTTCCAGACCAACTCTGAGTGCATGAAGCCTTGAAAGCCTATGCTCAAATGGACAGGGGTTTTTAGATTGTTCAGGGATTCTGTTGTTTTGTGGTACTTCTCCCCCCAGGGTTGGACTACATATGTATGTGTGCATTGAAGCTCAAATAGTAGACAAGGAATGGGAATGAATGGGCATACGCACAGTGGAGATTGTGAGGATGGCACAGCTTGGGCAAGGTTCCTATCTCTTGTATACAACATATGGAGTTTGGACACACAAACTTGGCTGTCTACTGTGTGCATTTGAAGCACTCAAGATACTAGAAATGAGCCAAAAACAAAAGGCACAATGTTGGGCAGAAATCAGACGGTGATTTTCTCCAAACCATCACATCTAAATGGAGAACTCTAGGACATTGAAA